GCTGCACGAGGTGGTCATCCATGACGACAGGCGTCGGGCCGACCCTGTGTGCAAAAAAGAGGCGGAGCAGCTCCTTGGCAGTCGAGACGATGGCGGCAGCGTCGGCTGTGGAGCGTTGCAGCTGCCGCATCTCAGGCCGGACCGATCCGTCGCAGCAAAACACCGCAGTGTGCCCGAGGCGAGGCCGCCAGCCATGAACAGCGGCATATGCGTCATTGTGAAAGTGCGTCGGAAGCAGGATGTAGAAGCGACCAGCGGCGGAGACGGAGCGCTTGCGTCCGGCAACGCGCGCCGGTCGCTCGGGGATTGCTGCGCGGCAGTACGGGCAGGTCTTGTTTCCGGCGGCCCAGAGATCGAGGCAGCCGGAATGGAATACGTGGCCGCACGGGAGCCCGCCGACGGAGGCGCGGAGCCGGCTGGCGCAGAGGGGTCGCAAACAGATGGCGCAGTCGTCGTTGGGCTCCAGCTGCGGCGGCGTCGGACAACGCTCGTTTTGCCGGCGGCGCCTCTTCGCGCCTTCCCCCGTCATGAGCGCCGACGATTGGGAGAGAGAGTTGGTTTGTCCGATTTAGCGAAATCAAGATCTCGGAAACTCGACCGGCATTGGGGGGTGGTTTCACATTTGCGCGTTCTTTTACCGAGGAGTTGTTTCCCGTGAATCCTTTTACTCGTTGGAGAGGCTCAATGACGTTCCCGGGCTAAAAGATTTTGGTGCCTTCGCTGTGGCGGCCTTAAAAGTTTGCGGGAGCAATCGCCTGGTGGTCTTAAAAGTTTGCGGGAGCAATCGATCGCCTGGTGGGTGGGTGGGGGGGGGGGGGGGAGGCAGATGGGTCGTGTCTGGGTCCGGTGTGCCGTCCTGCGTCTCGATCAGGTCTCGATCGACTCTCGTGTGCCTCCTCTCTCGTGAGACGGCTTCTCGCTTGAAACCGTGATGCCGTCTCGCGTCACACACTCACACTCACGCAAAAACCTCTGGGGGGGGGCGCCGCAGTGCGGAAACGGGGCCCCGGCTCTACTAGTCTCTACTAGCACCGACTTCCCGATTAAGCTAGGTTAATCAGAGGGCAGATTTGGAAAGATCTCGAGGAGTACATACAAACAGACCCTCCAATCATCAGAAAACTCCAACCTGATCGGTCGTACTGACCGCCGACAGATCACTCCAAACAGCAGACAGGCCGGCGTCTGCACACGCGGCCGGCCGGGCGAGAGGCTTGACACGATCCGACCCTGCGACCCTGACGCTGTGCTGCTCTAGCTATCAGACATGCACTGCTGACTGCTGCCACAATGTGCGACCTGTGCTGGCCCACTTGGCGGCCTTCCCGGTCAGTGGTGAGGCGCAGTTCAGAGCTGTCGATGGCGCGATCCGCCGCACTGGTCCCACATTGGGGTGACACGAGACCACCAAGTTTGCCGGTCCAAGAGAGAGAGGCACTGGTGCTGTCCTGAGAAGGTGCGTGGTCCCTCTTGACTGCCCATGCGCGCGAGGCTGTGTAGGCATAGCCTCGGAGAGTGCCAGCAGCCAATCCGGAGGCGACGCGCATTGCGTCAGAAGCGTGCACGCGCTGGAAGGACACCTTCCTACTGGCCGTACGATCAGGTCGTCACTGAATGCCGAATACATGTGCATGCACGCCGAATTCCCATGAAAACAAATGAAAAATCGCAAAATCCCGAAACTCGGCGCCTGTGGCGGGCCATCGGACCCCATCTCCCCCCCGCATGGATACCCTCTAGGGCCCCCGCGCCCCGCCCCCAGAGGCAAAAACACAACCCCGGGCCGCCCACAGTGTAGCGGAGTGTTGGACGACGCGCGAGCGACCGGAGGGGTCGGAGCGGTGGGAGAGTGTTTGTGTGTGTAACGCACATTTGCCGCCAGCGTGCAACACACCTCACACGCACAGGTCGCACGACGGCTAGGGGGCCACAAAAAGAAACCTGCACAACAAAACGACAAACCACAATATGCACAAAGTCAAAAAGACCGCGCACCGTGACCGTCCATCTGTAGCTCGTACCGTACGACTCGTAGCTCGCGGCTTTTTACGTATCCACAGCGCCTAGGACTGGAGCGTGGAGGCTATTCGTACCCATCTCTCTATATCTGCTTGTACTATCTTGCCACAAAGGCCAGAGCCTGGCCTTTTCGTTTATGGATTATTGCTAGAGGCCCCAGTGCCGCTCGCAACACTTCACATCACTCGCCCAGCAAGCTATAGCTAAAGGCGACGGCGACTGCTGTGATCGCTATCACCAAGACGGCAACACCCGCGGTCGGCAGTGCGACATCAGATGTGCTCGCGGTCCTAGCGGTGGCGCCGCCACCTGAAGACAGGCTCTTTCGGCACCGCCTGAACTCGGTCTTTGAGTGGTGGCCGATGACCAGGCCAAAGAGACGGCTTGTGAAAGCGCCGGAGATACGCTCGAATCGGAGCCGACCTTCGTACCAGGCCTCAAGCACTTGCCCATGCGCGTAGCCAGGCGCCCATTCGTACTCGATCTGAACCGCGTTGCAGCCGCCAGCCCGCAGCCGCTCCTCTGCCGCGTGCACCAGCGCACAAGCGATGCCCTT